TATTGCCAGCCTATTCAAAGTAACTGCCATTATTAATGAGTAACAATAAAGTTAACCTCAGGTAATGTTTTTTTACGATGGGTATCACTTGTTTGTTTGTTTAGAAACTGATTGGGATTCAGGACTCGGAGATGCACACCAAAAGTTCCTTTCCTCTTCCTATTTTGAAATATATGTTGCTTACGTCAACATGATGTCAAATTTATTTCCCTGAACTAACGAAATTATAGTACTAGGACAAAAGTTTCCGTAGAGTAGGCACGAAAACTGCCACAAAGTTATATAGAACGGATTTTGTCTTATTTTCTTAAAAGCAATAAGGCGATAATATTTAACTCTGTACATAAGTCTATTGCCAGCTTGAGCAGATTTATGGCGCTTGGCATATTTAGATTTGACTCTCGTTCAACAATTTATATCTCATGCTAGAGTTATAATATCTGGGGCAGCCGATGATGTTTTATATAAAGCTTGTGTTAAGTAGCCGGTAGTTATATGTCTCATGCAACGCGATCATCCGGTTACCTAAGTCGAATGCCTGATCTGCACATCCCTATTTGCATGAAATAGAAGATTCCCGTGTCAACCAATAAATACACTCACAGCGCAAACTGAATCAATATATGTAACTCAATACGAAGAGCCAAACGTTACTCAGGTACCAAAGTCAAACGAACTACCTCATCTCCAATGGATCCAGGGCCTTCAGTCGACCCCATTGCGTCACCACCCCGCACCTTAGACAATAAAGCCATCACTATCGTTCCCATCTCCACTCTTCCCCCTACAAGCACTGATTCTCCAACCTCTCCTACATTCATCAGCGGAATAATTGCCCTCCTCTTCCCCTACTCTAGCACTACGCAAACCCTCCGTCTGGTCCTCGCAGAAGAAGATCCTCGGCTCCGTGCAAATAAGGGCCAATTGAGAGTAAGCTTTCATGGCAAGGCAGCTAGGGAGGTTGCGTCGAGAGTGTTGCAGATTGGGGATAAGATTATTCTGGGGCTGGAAGGGGGTGGGTGGTATAAGCTCAAGAATGTAAAAGATGGAAAGGAGTTGGGGTGGAGTTTGAGGTTTGAAGGGGGAGTAATGGGGTGGGTTAGAGGGGAGGAGGTGAAGGTTGAGGGCGAGGAAGGGAAGCTGAAGGTGTCGGAGGATGCAGACGGGAGTCGAGATGGGAGAGGGGTAAATCCAGTGGGCTCAGAGATCTTGATGGGGAGTCAGAGAGAGTGGAAGCTTCCCACCGGAAGTATCGGTAAGAGGAGGGAGTATACGCCAGTTCGGGGGGATGCATGGGAGTTATTTGATGATGAAGAGGAGCTGCTGAGGGAGATGGAGAGGGAGGAGGAGGAGATGGTGAATGAGGAGGCGAAGGAGGGAGTGGAGCCCATGAGGAAAAGGCCGAGGTTTAGTATGGGGAGGTATAGGGTAATTAGAAGGGATGAGGAGGATCTACCATCACCCGAGACAAATAAGGAAGGGAGCGTTGCAGGGGACTGGCAACGGGAGGGGTATGTTGAGACTTTATTCGAGCATGAAAAAATGGACGAAACGCCTGCTTCACGACCTCCTTCACTCCCCACCGTTAGCGTTGCACATTCAGAGCAACAGCAACCTGGTCAAAGTCAAGAGCTCCCTGATTCACCGGACCTCAAACCCGTAGACTCCTATGGCCTGACCTTAGTCTCACCCCTCGGACATGGTGGGCTGGATTTTTCAGATCACATGATGGACACATCTACTCTCGCTAACTCGGACGTCGATTGCTCAGGGTTAAAGGTACACCAGGAGAAGGTGGGCATATCGAGGACGGAGCCTGATATCACGGTATCGAGACCGCAAAGTGCCGGGTATGATTCCACAGGCCCGAATTCGCTTTTCGATTCTCTCTCGCCTTCGCCAGATCCGGAGAATAGAAGTAGGGGAAGGTCCCCGGCAGTGCAGCCGAGTCCATTAAGGAATGTGCACACTATGGAGGGAGGGCTACATAGGGGGATGCAGGAAGATTGGAGAAATAAGGTGCCGTTACTATTACCGGGGAAAGTCAAGGTTACACGTGCTATTGAAGAGGATGCTCCCCTGGAAGACGGCAATGAGGGAGAGAATGATGCGAGTCGGGAAGAAGATACGGCGCAGGGGAATGGAGACGAACAAGGAGAGGAAGGCCACCTTATGTCGGTACCCCGCAGCACCACGATAGTCCTCGATGATTTACTTACGCATGGTACAACCCAGTCAACAACCAGAGCGCAATCCAATAATGCGTCCCCATCGGCCGCCTCCGGGGGCTTCCAATCAGGAATAACCACCGTTGTTTGTACCCCTCTGTTCCCTATCTGCGGAGGTTTATACGTGGACTAACTCCTATGTATGGTAGTCGTCCGACTTCCCTCCACTTTCACACCTTGCCTGGGGCCACATACAGGACTTCATTGGTGTCGTTTGTCGGACCAAACCTATCGAGCGCGCGAAACGGGGTCAGAGGGATCATTTCATGAGTATGAGAGTTGTTGATTCTAGCCGGCCCCTTGGGATCACTGTGAGCGTATTTAGGCCAAGAAAAGATGCGTTGCCGAGGGTAGAGGTGGGGGATTGCGTGTTATTAAGAAATTTTAGGGTGCGCAACGAAATAGCATACATCCACTTGCCTAAGGATATTTTGTTACAGCGAGCGTAAACGGGAAGTAAGCTGATTTTTGACGCATGAGATAGATCATATCCCAGGAGAGGAATTTAGTGGCAATAAGTACGGATACTTGTGCGTATGCGGTTTGGAAGAATTTTGGGAAGGAGAAAGTAGCGGTTGTTAATGGACCACCGGTAGAGTGGGGAGTGGAGGAAGAGGAGTATATTAGAAAGATTGGGGAATGGTTTGAGGGATTGGATGATGAAGTGAGAGAGGATCTGGGAAGGTGGCCAGAGAAAAAGGAGAAGGAGAAGGCAGTGTACGGTGCAGATGGGTTGGAGGGGGAAGAGAGGAAAGAGAAGAAAGGCCATGGAGAGGCGACGGAGAATATCTTAAACAAGGCTGCATAAATCGCTTTGCTTAGCGATTGAGATTCTGATACGTGCTTTTGCTTAGGGCTTTTGATTTAGGATACCATCTCTTTGCTATATTTGGGGTTTTGGGGTTCATTGGGAATGGTAGACTATATGGGTGCGATATTATGGTATGCAAGGCTTTTTCCCCAAAGCACGTACAGATGACTCTCGTTACGAGCATATCTACCCGGAGGAAATATGCTTGTAACCAATATATTCTTATATCAAGGGGAAATAGGAAGGTATAGAATTGAGCGAGTGTAGGGAAAGGCTGCGGAATGAGATAAAGCATACATGCATATGAATAACAAATAGCCAGACAAGAGTAGATACAGTTCAAGCAGGGGAATATCAGGAGGAGGAGGGTGGTTCCGGAACGACCCAGAAAGTCAGTAATCCTGTGCTGAATATGCTGATACCTGCGCTGAATTTCAAGAGTCCCAATTCTTTTCTCTCACGCCTTAGGATAGTTTGTTGCTCGATGACATTGGCTGTAGATTTCACTTGAAGTGAGAAAGCTGGAGACCTTGGTATGCAACTCGAATACACTCTAGAATTTCTTCATAGCCTGGCGGGCACCGCCTCTTGTAGATTTCTTCATATCGACAAGGTAACTGAGGCCAACGCGGAGTTGTCCTGGTGTGGCAACGCCTCGTAAAATATATACCATACATATAAGCTGCGAAAGCGCGTGTAGTGCATATACCCGTCTTGGCATGAGACTAGTAACGGTGTAGTCTGGTTGCACTACCGTTCAACTGCTCACATAAACACAATCACGTGGCTGCTCTCAAGTCACATGGCCTGCCCGCGCCAAGATTTCGCTAGCGGGGTTGGATTCTACAAGGTAACTGAGGCCAACGCGGAGTTGTCCTGGTGTGGCAACGCCTCGATAGGTTTAAAATATATACAATATGTATGTACCTCCGCTTTACTGCTTCTGGTCCACCTGGAGTTTGTAAAATATCCGGGTACTTTTGATAAAGACGACGCGGCAATCGTGATATGCGAGAATTCTTTCTTTTTCCAAGTCCGACATTTCGCGACCCTTCCGCTGAACATCTGAAGTGATATTATCTGACATTGTGCTGTAAAGCTGTCGGTTTGAACAACAGAACATAGACTTCGCAACATACTTACCCCACTTTTGCTTACAATACGCTCCATTGGATAAGGCTTCTGTGGTGTCTTACTTGTCGGCTATATTGCCCATATGTAGCCCTCATGCAGAAGAGCCGCGCCGAGCTGCATCTAAGCGCTGCCTCTTTTATGCATCCCGGATACTTTCTGAATGGCACTGTATACTTCTTGAATTAACGTTTCAATTAAAATTGACAACTTCGTTGCCTATAAGCCTACCTAATCCAGTAAAGCGCTTCTCTCATTACAAGCATATATATGGTGACTAAGCGAAAAAAAAATAAGTATGATATATTCAAATATGCTTATTTACTATGAGGGACAGGCGGAGGTATGCTTGTAACGAGACTACTGTATGCTGTGTTACGTCGTGTTAATTCATATGCATATGATGCCCATATGATGAACGCCAATACAAATGTTTTCAAGAGTGCTAAAAGAAGTCGTATTTTGAGCTACGTTATGCTTATGCTCCCATATTTTGCTAGTTGGTCGCGGCAGTTACCCTTCTCCACATGGTTCCAAAAAAAAATGTAACATCATCGGGAATACTACCAAATTTCGTCGCTCTATGGATATATCTTTGTCGGTAAATATTCTCTCCCTTCAAGAGCTTGGGGCTGTCGCGATGCGTGTGTGTCTCTATTTCGTTGGGGCTGGAGTAGTCACGCAAAATCCAAGACTACAGCAAGTCAAGCATAATTCAGATCAATTTACCACATCGACCCACCTTTATTGTTTCTAGTACGTGTCCAGACTTCAACTGATTTTAGAAATTTCATTAGGAAGTCAGAAGGAGATAAAAGCAAGAAGAGTAATGGCTCAGCTGGGAGTTGAACCCAGATCACCCACCCTCTGCGTTGAAATCAGCAGGTATCTACATAGCAGGGGTCATACCGTTAGACCACTGTGCCTTTTTGGAGCTATGGGCCTAAGGCAGTTGACCTGGAGGGCTTATACACAAGTGAAGTTTTATGATCCCCTCCGTCTAGCTCCTACAAATTCGGACTCTCTCGTCAGCAAAAGCTACAATTGTCGATATCGCCTCAGCCATCAAGGTTAACAGCTGCTCGCTATGAAAATACGACAAACTAGACTAGCAAATTTTCAAGGCAGAAGTCAACTTAGTAGTACTTCAGAGAGGCACAGTGGTCTAACGCTATGACCTCCGCTATGTAGAGACCTGCTGATTTCAGGCAGAGGGCGGTAGTCTGGTTGGTGATTTGGGTTCAACTCCCAGCTGAGCCAAGTTTTTTTTTCATATCTCCTCTTGGTGCTTGCTAGTGAGATCGGGACTAGACTTGCGGATTCGGGAGTCCCAACTAGATTAACTCCGTAGATCCGGAAACGAGACTGAAGTAAACAGATAGTCTGGTGGTGCGATCCGAGCCGACACCAGATTCTCAGGTAGAAGTGAAGATTTGGCCTAATGTAGTCTGTTTAGAGATGACATACAGTGGTATGGCAAAAGGCCATCTTACCCTGAACTCGTGGGGCTGGTGTCATAGAATGCCGATGGCATGGATCGGGATTCGTTTTGAGACGCGCGGCGGCACTGGGGTGACGTTCCTAAGGATACGGCGGAGCCTAAGGATACGGCGGAGCCCACGATCCTAATAGGCTACCTTGGTAAGGTGAGAGGGAGTGTTAAGTCCCACGCAAGCTAAGTCAAACATCTCTACGAGAGGCTTGTGCCAACCAGACTAAGTCAAACATTTCAGCCCGTATACCTCAAAGAGGCACAGTGTCTAACGGTATGACCCCGCTATGTAGAGACTTGCTAATCTCAGGCAGATCTGGGTTCAACTTCCAACTGAGCCAGATTTTTTTTTTTCCAATCGCCGTTGTGCCAACTAGACTACAATCGTCGGATCTCTTTGTCTCTCCTCTTCTCTGACTCCTAAAGAGGGAGCTTGTTGGTGCTATTACCGGATTTGATTTATTCGCGGTAATACCCCTATATTAATGTCAGGCACAAGGCATGGACTCTTTCTTACTTTCTTCTCTTCTCCCCTTCATTCCGTTTTTCTTTCGCCTTTTCACCTAATGATCAGTTTCATCTGATATCGCCCCCTCTATTTCTCACTCTTCGTTCAACCCAACAGTCCTCAGAATATCTTCAGGGAGATACCTGACAAATCGACTCTAACCCGTCTTCCCCAAACTATTTCTCCCATCTTCTCAGTATCCAGAGAGCATGGAACCCAAACCTTGATCATACTCCTCTATTCTCCCTTCGATGCCGCTTTCAGTTCATACCTTTAATTTCCCTCAACGCAGAAACTCAATATCTATAAACTAACCTATTTCTCTGCATTGTGAACTCCTAGGAGGTAGCAGAACTAAAGATCTACGAGATTTGACGAAGCATCTCAAGTGAGGAGAAGGATCCTGATATTGCCCTACCTACATACGTTATTCTTTAGGGATTCAAGCCAGAACATTTGGGTGAAATCCTCTAAGAAACTATCATATATTGGTCAGCAACAACGGCTATCTAGAGTTTCAGGAGACAGTCAACTTTGGTTCATTCCTATGATAAGTACAGTTCTCATCCATTTTTGTGAGATCATGTTTCATTTCTTTATTACATCACTTGGGAAAACTGATTAGAATTACTTGGAGACCTGACCTGAGCTTTTTTTCATCTACATTGGAGAAGTCATGACGATGTCTTTTATCAACTTTTTATGATCTTCTAAGCTATTGTAACTCACTTTGAATAAACAACTAATATCCTGTAAGCAACAAAGTGGGACTGGGCTAATATATGTGGCCTCTAGTCTAGTACATGATGGTTCAATAAAATCACCTCTTTCGTTGGCCGCAGTTATGGCTTGCTCAGAGTATGTATAGAGTCTCTATGCTCAGTCCGCTGCCACGGAGATACCACCTTTTGGCTGCAGTTCTTGCTAAATATGAGCTATGGCAGAGCAAAACATTACCTTGAATGTACATGGTGTGGCAGACTTTGATTCGAATGGCGGTACATCTAGTTCTCTGTTTTATCTATTGGTGGAGGCCATAATGCTTCATTCCTTTAATGTCACTTGGGGGAAATGATTAGAACTACCTGGAGATCTGCTGAGCCGAGCTACTTTCTTCATCTACATTTGAGAGGTCATGCGGATGTCTTAATCAACTATTTTTTTTGATCTTCCAAGCTTTCAAAACCTACTTTATGTTCTCAACTTTGATTGTCCAACTATATCCTATGAGGAATGAAAGTGAGACCCTGGGCTAATGTGTGTTATTTGGCCTAGTGCGCAGTCTAATAAGAGCGGCCTTTTTCGTTAATCGCAGTTATGGCTCATGGTACGTATAGAGTTCCTATGCTCAGGCTGTTGCAACAGCATTTAGGGCTAGGGTTCTTGCATTCCCTCGTCACTCCTAAGTCTTATTGGATGAAATGATGTTATGTTTACAAGAATAAGAAGCCTGAACCAAGAAAAGCCTCTTCATAAAAAGAGGAGAAGCTATGCGGATCTCTGACTACTCTGATCATCTATTGAATTACTATTGATTTTCCGTTCTTCATCGATGGAGAGAATAGCAGAGAGATCGCTGACCTATATACAAAGTTTTACTTTCAGGGACTCAACATGGATACTAATATTCTGGCAAGCGCATTTGCGCTTTGTGAGTTCATTGAAAACCGAGAAGTTGGAGTCCAGGCAATGCAAAGCTCAGGGGAATTCCTTAGTTCAGGGTAACTTGGATGCAGAGGAATTACTGCGTCGACTGGCTGACAGGCGTGGAGGCTATATAGCTCGCTATGTGCTCTGCTCACATACTCTTTGAAGGAATTTTCTTCACTATGACCCCGTCTGATGACTGCGCCACTCAAATTTCGTTGACAGTTAATTACAAAAGAACTTATGAAGGGGAGACATGAGTTGACCGATAATTAGTTGGGCGCGGCCGGCTCGCCCGAAAATTGATCTGGATGCCCTGTGACTGTATTGAAACTGAGAATACTTTAAACTCGGATTAGTATAGCTATAGGGTACTCCTGATACATGCTCCTTCCGAAGCGTTTGTATCTTACTTCGTGGCTCTAAGCTGATTATAATGTGTATTGGTAAAGTAATTATGCTAAGCTCAAGCAGCAAGCTGCACTTATAGAGGTGGCGACTCGACACGAATTATTTCCCCACCGAGGCCCTAATGAGAGTTGAACACATGACAAAATATGTCAACACAATCCTACGCCGCAACTATGCATTTAGAGATATGCAATGAAGGGAAATAAGTCTCACTTTTTGTATGTAGTTTTTGAATTGAAATTACTAGGTATTGCACAGCAACAAAGGCGGAATACTTGCTGATGCATTTAGCGCTTAGTTACCCTGAACAAGCCGGTTTCAAGGCGCTATTTCTTACTATATTGAAACTTATGTCTTTACGCGTGTACTGTGAAGGTTTTTCGAGTCCGCACAGTCGTAGGGTTTGAGGTTGAGACTTATGATAAGGGCTTACGTTAAGAAAGTGTTTAGAATACGTATTTACTGTAGAACAGAATGATTTCGCTATACGCATAGAGATGGAGGTCATATTGACTTCACATACACACGTATGCTTTTATTACTAGACGGCTAAACTTTGGATTTGAAAAAAAGAGTACCTACGTTTTCTGATTACCCTGAAATAACAAAAACCAATAGTTCATAATATTCACTCCAAAGAAAAACACTTAAGCAGTTTTTTTTCTTTTTCTTTTTTTTCTTTTCGCCGCTGTGAATTTGACAATCACCATACTACGGGTACGAACATGTTATCAGTTTTCACCTCACCCTGGGCACCATCTACCGCAGGTACCACCCCGGCTTTCCTCAAAGTGTCAACACAGCTCCTTATAACCTCCTTGTCCACCTTCCTCGTATCCTGCGCAAACCTCACCTCCTTCAACCACGCCTCAGCATCCTCCCGGCTATAATGCATTTCCTTGCTGTTTACAATAAAATCCACTGCCTCCTTTGGATGTTTATTGAAATACTCAATCGCGCTATTCAGGTAAGTCAGAAACAAAGACAACGTTGGGTCCGGGCTAAGCGGGTGGGAAGTTGGTGGGCCTGGCGGGCTGGGGAGGTCTTCGTAGATGGAGCTAGGGAGGAGGTTAGACTGGCAAACGATATGCCATGATGGCCACGGAGTCGGGAGTTCTCCGATCTGCGCAAGCTCAGGGGTGGTGGTGTAGTATTTCTTTGTTGTGTAGTATTCCCACATGAAAGCGTCTGCAGCACGGGAATTGACTCCGGAGCGGAGCCCGGTAAAGTCGTTGAGCACGATGAAGTCAAAGGGGGGTTTAGTACTGCTACCGCTTGTATCGAGCCAACCTTCTCGCTCCGCGAGCACGTATGCCATGACGTAGCTCCCGCTGCCGATCCGGCTGACGCCTAGTTTCTTCCCCTGCAGCTGGAGCTGGCCTTGCGCGTCGAGGAATTCCGACTCCCGCCCGCTCCCGGTGGAGATGGCCCACCGAAGAGGCGACTCGACGTACGAGCCGATGAGCCGGTAGAAGTTCTTGCCTTGCGCGAGCCCGGCGAGCCACCCCTCGGTTAGGCCTACGGCGACGTCGATGGTGTGCGTGGAGAGGGAGGTGATCATTGCGCCGGTGCCGGAGGGGAAGGGCACGAGCTCGATGATGAGGGGCGGGGGGTGTATGAGCGGGAGGATATTCTGTTGCAGCATGTGGAGGGGCACGGAGAAGTGTTCGGGGACGTAGCCGATGCGGAGGGGGGCGGGGAGAGGGTGGTCTGCGTGGGTAGGGGGGACGGTGTGAGGCATTTCCTGGGGATGGGGTTTGGAGGTGGACATTGTGAATGATGGTGATGGTGGTGGCAGTGGTTGGCGAGCGAAGCAGTTCTTTTTCGTTCGAAAGAAAGTGGTTGATATCATAATGTTCTGAGGTCAC